TCCATCTATACAAGCGAAAAAGAAAAGGAGGGGGGGGGGATGAATTTAGCGGACAGTGATGTTTTCCTTTGATGTATTTGAAAGCGAGAAACTTGTCTCTCTGGAGCACATTTTAAGAACTTTCTAAAAGTAAACAAAAAAGAAAAGATGTCGGAGCTGGGCAAAAGCGAGCGGAGAAGGAGGGAGGGACTTCCGTCTGGGCGTTTGTCTGTGTGCAAGAGCCGGCTGTTGAATGTTTGGACTGTTTATGGCTGTGAATCCGACGGGAGTTTTGCAAAAAAGATAAGTTGGAATTGTGACAGCGAGAAGTGCCTGATAAGCGCTTATAAGTCAACAATTGCGAGGAGGACCCATAGAGAGTCTGGGAGCGAATATAAAAGCGAAAATGAAATTGATACCATTCTCGAAAATGGGGACCTCCGAGGCATGAAAGGAAGAGGATTTATAGTACATGAACTGAGCGTATTAACAACAACCCGAAGGAGGATCTAACAAGCCGGAAGGAGAAGACAACAGAGGAAGCTCCTCCACGTCAGCGATAGTAAAAGTACCCAGCACGCAAAGAAGCGGTTCTGAATGTGCACAGAAGAGACCCTTTTTATTAACAGAATCTCAAAGGAACTTTACTAACATACTAACAGAGAATACATGTAACAGGATTAAGAAAAGAAGTTTGGCAACACACAGAAGAAGCCCAAGAAGATTAATTGGACATTACTAACAGTTTAATTTACCAGTTTATATATCACTCAGCTTTCTCTTTCTCCCACTGTCTACCTTTCCCTTTTTTTCTTTTAAGCGAAATACCTCCCCTTTTTAGGGGAGCCAATAAAACCTTTATTAAAAAAAAAAAAGAGCTTGCTACAGCACCGATCGTTCCAGCGCGTGCGCACTAGATCCCATGGGTGTGAAGCACAGAGACCACGTTGAAGATTGCGGATTCCTCCTCTCTGAATGACGAAACTTCCTCGGCATGGCCTTCTTTTTGTCTCGAGTCTCCATGAGAATTCTATCCAGAGCTTCCCCAAACAGAAGATCACCCTGGAAAGGATATGCAGACACCATCAGTTTGGATTGAAAGTCTGCCTGCCAGGCCCTCAACCAGTGTAAACGCCTAGCTACTGTAGTAGAAGCCAGGGCCCTGGATGCAAAGGTTAAAATGTCCAGAGTAGCATCCGCGGAGAGGGAGGCACCCTTCAGGATGCGGGAAGCCCCTTTGAGAGGACCCCTGCTATTCTCCGGTAAAATCTGGATGAGCTTGCGGATCCAGACAACCAAAGCTCTAGGTGCAATGGACGAGGTGGCTGCAGCTCTCACCTTCATGGTGATGGCCTCATAGATCCTGTTAAGTGTGGCGTCCACCTTCTTGTCTATCAGGTCTCGAATGTAGCCATGGCCATCCTCAGAAACTAATCCGGTGGATTGAATGGCTGCCACTGGGCCATCAACTGGTGGAACCTGTAACAGGTCATTTGCATAGGAAGGCCAGGCATATAACCTTTTAACGAAACTAGGAAACTGCCTATTTGCTGACGGTCTGTCCCAAGCCATCCTCAGCTGTCTGTCAAAGTATTCTGGGAAAGGGAAGACCCCCTGTTCCGCCGGTTCCTCTGGAGGAAAGAATTCAGAAAGCCCTTTGGAGTGTGACTTCAGTCTAGGCTTGACCAGCCCCTGCACCTCGGGCGCAGGAGCGTCCTGGATCTGTAAGGCCTTAATTGCTTTGGTAAGGAAGTAGTGATACTCCTCTGCCTTGAACAATCTATTAGATTGTTCAGGCATTTTCAATTCCTCAGCTTCCTCATCTGAAAGAAATTCACCCTCTTCTCTGTCCTCAACAATGGAAACAGAAGAAGCATCCTCTTCTTCCTCCCATCCCCCCCCCCCCGTGTTCTTTGAGAGGCCAGGGGGTTGCTTTCTGCGCCGCCTTGGTAGGCCAGGGAGCTGGGCATTGGGGCTGGGGTATTTAGGGTATCACCTTGACCAGCCAGGCCCACGGTGGAACAGAAGGTGGAAAGTCCCTCTTACATGACCTGCCGGAACATCTTCATTAATTCAGGGGGGTTGATCACAAGGAATGCCAGACATCCCCCCCCCCAGGAAGTGGATCGGGCCTGGAAAGATGCGATTCAGGGATTTTACTGCCTCCGTCCGCCTCCAAAGTGCTCAGCAGAGGAAGATGGTGGCTTCCGGAGCCTCCCAATGCCGATCCAAAATGGCCACCGGCAGTCTTCACCAATGTTCCCTGTAAGCTGTGGAGTCTTGTGAGCAAAAATTCTACTTTGTGAGCTGCTGGCATTAAAGTTGTGAGCCAGCGATTTGGCTACTGCAGAAATTAGTGTGCTCTGGAGCCCTCCTTCCTGAGCTAAGGCAAAGATGTGTGAGCCGGAGGCTAAGAAACTGTGAGCTGGTTCACACTGACTCAGCTTAGAGAGAACACTGGTCTTCACCCACCCGATTTTGGTGGGCTCCAGGTCCTTGGGCGATTGGAGGCGCTTCTGAGCGTGTCGTGCCGCTGCCTCGATCATTGGGGAGACACAATCAAGCCCAGAGAGCGAATTGGACCCACAGTTGGCCGCTGCAGCAGCAATGGTATCTTCCTCGGTAGAGGAGAAGCCGTCCGAGTGCTCTGCTGCCGCCATTTCCTGTGCAGCCGATAGCACCCACTTCTTCCTTCAACGAAGGTGCCTCGCAGGCTCTTGACTCTCGCCAGAGAACAGAGCCAGAGGGAGAGAGATTAAAGGAAAGGTTAGAAAGAAACAGGGAAGAGAAAGAATAGTTCAGAAAGGGAAAAAATACAATTGAATACAGTCAGAAAGGCAGAGCCGGAGCCTCACTGCTACTCCCTAAGAGGCAGGAATAGAACTAAGGGGCTGGGCTATTCCCAAGGCGCCAAGAAGAAGGAGAAAAAAGTGTTTCCTGCCTCCCTAAAGGAATGATGGGAATAACCCATGGAGATGTCCTCCACCTCAGAGGGAGAACACCTAGATCCCTTTCACATGTGCTGTTATCAAGCCAAGTCCCTCCCATTCTATATCTGTGCCTTGGATTTTTTGTACCTAAGTGTAGGACTTTGCAATTATTTCTATTGAAATTCATTTTGTCTCAGCCCAATGTTCCAGCCTATCTAGATCATTTTGCATCCTGACTCTGACTTTTTCAGAATTAGCAATCCCACCCAGCTTCGTGTCATCTGCAAATTTGATAAACATCCCCTCTATGTCTTCCTCCAGATCATTTAAAAAAACATTGAACAAGACGAAGCCCTGTGGCACTTCACTCGAGACTTCCCTCCACATAGACACAGAGCCATTTACAAGCACTCGTTGAGTACAATTTTTCAACCAACCATGAATCCCTCCAATGGTTGCACCATCCAGCCCACACTTAACCAGCTTATCCTCAAGGATATAATGATAAACTTTGTCAAATGCTTTACTGAAATCTAGATACACTATGTCCACAGCATTGCCAGAGTCAACCATTTTAGTAACTCTGTCAAAGTCAAAGGAGTCCACCTCCAGTGCCCCCCCCACACCCTTGCCTCTTAGTGCCCCCCTAGGTAATCCTACTGCCCTGCAGGGGGCGGTACCACCCACTTTGAGAACCACTACATTAGATCTTCTCAGATGCTGTTTCACTGTAGTTACACAATCACCTTCAATACTGAACGACTGTAGCTGAGGGATACAAACTGGTCTACAAACTTTTGTTCTTGAAAGGGGGCATTTATGGTGAATCCAAAAGGAAAACACAATCCAAACCAGTAAACGTAACTGCTTTTAATTTTGTATAGGGTGATACAGAACCAAATACCAATGTCTTCGGAGGACAACCACTGACTTCAAAGCACCTCAGTTCATTTTGAAAGAAGTCAGGTTAAAAGCAGCCTATAAAATAAACTTTTATCCTATAAAAAAGCTTTCATTCTTAAAACATTTAAACATTACTCTCTGATCATACCTTGGTTAAATTTGATCTTAATACTACGACTCTTGATAATTGTCAGAGTCTATACTACAACTGGTGTTGTTCAAGTAATATATACTCACAGAAATGCTAACATTCAACTAGGAGACCCTATGCTGTGCTGCATTTAGGAAAACTAATTATAGAAACAACACAAATTTTTATCTACCCTCTTCCAGAGTGAAGTTCTTTTTAATTAATATCATTCAAAAGCCAGTGGCTGGGCCTATTTGCTCTCTTGCTTGCTCCCTGGAACAAATTCCACTGAACTGTTGCAAAGATAGCAGCAAGCGGGTCTGTGGCCTGTATTAGCCAAGCAGCCCACATGGACACTTCAGATGACAAGCAACTGATGCAAAAGTAGTGTTATCTTGATTCTTGAGGTTTGTCAGGTTACTCCACAAAACACTGTAGATTACTGGCAAGCCAGGCTATCTGCTTGAGTTTCTGACACTTGCCAATGCAGACAGTCTTCTGTATCAGCATTGTAATTATGACCTCAAGAGACAGGAAAGTGGTGTTTAGGCCCCATTTAAAAAGGTAGTTCAACTTTTGGCTAATACAGTTCCACTAAATATGTTGTTACTGTAGCATGTGTGTTGTAGGAAAAAGCACGCTTTAGTGAAAGCTCTTTGGATAAGGCATGTCAACTGTTTAATTGCCAAGTAATAAATAAGGTAAATACTGAATTTCCTTTACAGCGTATAACCCAGAGGTGTAGTAACTTCCATGAAGTCTTTGTTCTTGAATTACAGGGGCTGTGAATACAGCACAAGATGAATTCTAACATAATCATGTCAAAATGAGATGTTCAAACTAAGGAGTAGTACATAAAACTCCCATTATGTTATTCCAGCTATTACACTGGAGCTAAAATAACTTAAAAAGCTATTTAATTATCATCATTCCCTTCACACAAGATGTTTAAAAGCTGTCAGTCACTCTTATAAAATATTCATATAGATAAAATTAGTGCTCATGACCTAATACCATATGGACAATTCTGTATTTAAAAGCTCTCACTCTATATAAATATAAAACTCAGAGGCACATTTCAATCCAGGTTGCAAAATAATGTTGAATAACCCAGCCACAGAAAGTCTCTTTCCAGAGAAATCTTTGTGTGCTAACATTTAATGGTTTTCAACCAGAGTCTTCATTTTTCCTGTGGTCTTCAGCATGTGCGGTCCAAACTGCTAGAAGAGAAAAAAAAATTTTCTTAATAACAGAAATGGCTTCACACACCCAGACCTTGTACCAATATAGGAACTCAAAACCTTTCTTGCTGTTGTCTCATGCCCATTGCTTTCCCAGGTCAATTTTATCAAAATGTAATCCACAGTGGAAGGATTATCCAGATCGTACATTTTGAAAAATGCTTGGGTCATGATGCCAAAGGTTTTCCTGCATATATGAGGAACACAATTCACTATCTGCAAACTGACCTGTTTTGCTATTTTATCGACAGGCATTCAACTATGAGCATGGTTATGAGAGGGAACAAGTTGGGGCTTATGAGGAATCACGGAGGAGGCCAACAATGTGAAATTTCTCCCTGCACGGCCTTTTTTTTTTTTTTTTTAAAGTGGTGCCGGAACTCTCAAGAGGGAAATGGAAGTGTTCAGTCTGTATACTGAAAACTCATAAACTTTTAAACATTTTTAAAAGAATTTCGTTGAAGAAGTTCTGGCGCATTCCCCTAGAAAAAAAGCCCTGCCTCCCTCCAGAAGCACAAAATTGCATATTGAAACAGATGAGTACTTCTCTGGTCCTCGGCAGTCTAGCACTGTAGTGCAATTGCCCCATAGTGCTGGCTGTTGTAGTTTGAGGCTAGATGAGTAGGTAGCTGCTCATGTAGTCCAAAGTGGTACTGTGCAGGTAGGAGTGTATTAGACAAATGCATGGATTATATTCTACAACCCTGAGATCTCTCTCTCTCTCTCTCACACACACACACAAACAAAATGCCCTCTACCTGAAATCGTGCCGTTAATGCATTGTAACACACAGCCTCAACCAAATTACTGTACTGCCGCAGAAAATTTAACCATAAACAGTATAGAGTGGGGGCAAAGACAGAATCAGCAATATGCTGATAAATCATGGTAGCAGATCCAGATTTGTTGAGGTGTGAATTCTGTTGGGGGGGGGGGGACCCAGAGTGGCCAGGAAGAGTTGCATGCTGGCTGAAAGGGGGATATGGTAGGGGTAAAAGCAAGAAGGTAGGCAGATATGCTACAAAATACAGAGTGGGGGAAGAGTCCAGGGCATATACAGTTAAGGCAAAAAGTAAGCAGACCCTGACCCTTCCCCTGGGGAGTACAAAGAAGTAAGTGACACACTTCTTCCTACAGCTGCATTCGGGAGAGTACAAACAAAGCATGCAGACCAAGATTTCAAAGTGTAATAAGGAAAAGGACACTAAATTTGCACAAAGCCTTAGTGGGTTTTTAAAAAGACTCTGACTTTCAAGCAACACGTCATAAAATGACAGTGTTACAGCCCATTGATCCTAGTGGGCACATAGATGCTTTACAGTGTAACCACATCAGCTTCCACCTCTTAAAGGATGCACTAGGCAAGTACCAACATAGGTTTCAGTAGGCCAAGGGAAGTTGTGGGACTAAAATTTATTGACCAATTTGAAAGCACATGCCAGAACTTTGGCTGCCGGTCACTAGTGAATCATTAGCTAAACACAGCACTTACCGGTGTGCTTTCTGATATTGGGATTTGTTTTTCAGCGTCACTTTGGCTGTCACTTCGGTATCGATAAGCAAATTTCTTTTTAAGAGCTTCAGCTATCAGCGCTGCAGGATCTGCTGGATCAACAGTTTTTCTTTTTGTATTTTCATCTGGTCTTCAAAAAGAATAAAAACAGAAGAACCATGAGCATATTTCAATGCCAGCAATTGTTGAGTCTTCTTATTAATGTTGGTGTATATCCTATTCTGCTTCCCATCTGCAGGTCCAAAGGACTGGGAGAAGCAGCTGCGAGTGCCATAGCCTCTTTACAACGCAGGGCCCTTTTGTCTAGTATGGCGTCAGCCTGAAAGAAATAGCACTTCTCTCCACACGTGCCTCTCCTGGTCTGAAAGAGCAGTTCCTCTTCCAGTTATAGCAGCACTATTTTAAAGGGGTGGGAAAGACTGCTTACTGCAAAACAGGTGTGGTGCTTTTCTTAGTGTGAAAACATGCACCAGATGCACGCACCTTGATCATGAGGGTGAATAAAAACAGGTTGCTTACCTGTAACTGGTGATCTTCGAGTGGTCATCTGTGCATTCACACCCATGGGATCTAGTGCGCATGCACTGGATCGATTGGCATTGTAGCAAGCTCTTTAATGGATTTTTGCGCCCAGACCTTGGGCATGCGCAGGAACCCCACCGCGCATGCCCAGAGGAGAAGGCATGGACATCTTGCCAGTTCCTTCAGACCACCGCAAATCAACCCCTATTGAAATGTAGAAGCTGACAGCAGCGGGGAAGGAGGGCGGGTGTGTGCTTCACACCCATGGGAGATTAGCCAGCAGTGGCCTACCTGGAGGAGGGTGCTGGCAGGTCTTTTACTGCGTAGCCAAAGACAGAATGTGACATCCCATGTTGGTATTCGCATTCTTACGGACGTCTCGGGTGTAGTGCCTTATGAAGGTGTTAGGCGTGGCCCAGGTAGTGGCTTTACAAATGTCTGTCAGGGGCACTCCCTGGAGGAAGGCAGTGGAAGTCGCGGCAGCTCTGGTAGAATGAGCCCTGATAGGGCCAGGCAATGGCTGTTTGGCGATCAGGTAACATAGATGGATGAGACCCACAATCCACTTTGACAGGCGCTGAGCCGTGATGCGAGTCCCCAGCCATGCTGATGCGTGTGAGACGAACAGTTGCTAGTCTCGTCTAGTTGGGTGTGTTCTATTGCGGTAGAACAGGAGAGCCCGCTTCACATCCAAAGTGTGTAAGAGTTTGTCCTCTGCTGATGTTGAATTTGTGAAAAAATCAGGGAGGAAGACCTCCGCCTGCAGGTGGAACTCTGACACCACCTGCAGCAGGAAGGAGACGTCCAGTATGAGGCGGACTCTGTCTGGCAAAAACAACAGGTAAGGTGTATCGTGCCGGAAAGCCAATATTTCTCCCACTCGTCTAGCCGAGGTGACAGCAATTAAAAAGGCACGCTAGAAATTTGAGGTCGCAGGTTGCGAGCGGCTCAAAGGGCTTCCTCGTGAGCTGGCAGAGAACTAGAGGAAGGTCCCAGGGAACAACAGGAGTTTTACCAGGAGGGTATATATGCAATAAACCTTATTAAAAACGTTTTGAAAGTGGATGGGAAAACAGTGTGCATTCGTCGACTGGAACATGGTAGGCCGAAAGGGCGGCCAAATAAACTCTTAAAGATGAATGGAAAGGTCCCGAGTCAGCTAGGGACAGGAGGAATTGGAAAACCTTGTCGAGACCCACAGAGGTGGCTCGAGGGGCGTCATCACCTAGGGAAGAACAGAACCTTTGCCATTTATAATTGTAGGACTTCCGCGTAGCAGGTTTTCGGGCGTTCAATAGAACATTCGCTATGTGTGTGGAAAAACCGTTGATGTTATTCTCCACGCTGTCAATTTCAATTATGGTATGTCATGATGTAGGAGAGGGGAGTGTGACAGGAAGAGGAGGTCCTGAGCCGGAGGGAATTGATGGTATATTCCTGTTGATAATTCGAGGACTGTCGAAAACCATGGTTGCCTCGGCCACCATGGGGTTATCAATATACAGTCCGATTTTGCGGACCACTCTCAGAAGCAGAGGTGAGGGAGGGAACAGGTAAAGAAGTCCCGTGGACCAAGGGTAAAGGAGACCGCCTCCCAGAGATTGTGGGTCCCTGCTTCCTCGACTGCAGAACAGAGAACACTTTTTGTTGTTTCTGGTGGCAAAAACATTGACTGGGGGAAATCCCCACCTGCGGAAGAGTGGGAGGAGGTATGTTGGGTTCATCTCCCACTCATGAAGGCTGAGTCCTGCTCGACTTAGATGGTCTGCCTGGACGTTCATGTGTCCAGGGATATGAGTGGCTACGAGGAAAATGTTGTTGGTGATACAAAGGTCCCACAACTGGATGGCAAGTTTGCAGAGGCGTAGGGAAACAGTGCCTTCCTGCTTGTTGACATAAGAGAGCGCCATGGTGTTGTCCGTGAGGACCATGACACATTTTCCCCTGATAACAGGTAGGAAGTTGGCGGCAGCATGCTATATTGCCAGCAGTTCCAGGACGTTTATGTGCCAGTTCCTCATCTGCGCGTCCCATTTTCCTCCAACAGAAAGGCCCATCATGTGTGCACCCCACCCTGTCAGGGAAGCATCTGTCGTTAGAGTGATTTGGGGTGAAGGCGGATGGAAGGGTGCCCCTTGGAAAAGATTGGAGGAGACAGTCCACCAAAGTAAGGAATCTCGTATGTAGGTAGGAGGGGTTAGGACGGTGGAATGTGCATTCTTCGAGGTATCGAAGTTGCGGATGAACCACAGTTGTAGGTGGCGCATTTTTAGTTTTGCGAAGACCAGGACTGATGTATTCGCGGCCATAAGTCTGAGTAGCCTCTGTATCTGGAAGGCCGTGACCAAGGGTTGGGTACGAACAACGGTAACTAGGTGGATGATGTCTGTCGCTCTGTCTTGGGGTAGGTAAGCCATGCATGTCTTGGAATCCAGTAGGGCACCGATGTATTGTATCTGCTGGGACGGTTGAAGCTGAGACTTCCGCAGACTGATTTGCAAGCCCAGATCTTCCAAGAGTATCATTGTCTCGTTGATGTTTGAGACTAGAGTGTCCTTGGATGACGCCACTAGGAGCCAATCATCGATGTACGGGTAGATGGAGATACCCTTGAGACGGAGGAAGGCCACCACTACAATCATAGTCTTTATGAAGACTCTTGGGGCGCTCGAAAGGCCGAATGGTAGGGCTGCATATTGGTAATGCTGTTGACCAATTGCGAAGCGTAGGTATTGGCGGTGGGAGGGAGGTGGAAGTACGCGTCTTGGAGGTTGAGGGTGGCCATCCAGACGTTTTTCTGGAGAAGTGGCATAATCTGCTGCAAGGACACCATGCGGAAGCGGTGGTAGGTGACATAACAGTTCAGTTCCCGTAGATCTGATATGGGTCGAACGCCTCCATCTCTCTTTGGGACTGTGTAGTATCGGGAATAAAATCCTGTCCCGTGGAGGTGTGGTGGTACCCGTTCGATGGCTCCCTTGTGCAGGAGGACAGACACCTCGTCTAGGAGAGGTGGGGAAGGAGGTGTGGTGACGACGACTGGAGTGTTGGGGTTCTAGTCGAATTGAATACGGTAGCCTTGGGTTATGATGGATAGTACCCATTGGTCAAAGATGATGTGACACCAGGCAGAAAGGAAGGGTGACAGACGGGTTTGAGCTGACTCGGTAAGGAGGGACGTCAAAAACCCTGCTTGGAGGACCTTGGTTGTTTGGTGTGTGAGGGCTGTTGTCCAGTTCTGAACTTAGGCTTTTGAAAGGCGGGTCTTTGACCACCGGAAGCCGTACGTGGTCTCCATTGCCTGTCCGGAGACTGACGATTCGGGATGCGTCTTTGCCAGGGCCTAGTCCAGGTGCGAGGGCGAAATTGTTGCCTCGTGGAAGATGACACTCCTAGAGCGCGAGAGGCCTTTATGTTCTTATCTATATCCTGGAGCATGGTATCGGTCATGCTGTTAAAGAGACCGAGGCCATCAAAAGAAAGGTCTTTGACATAGGACCTAGTATCTTGTGGAAGATTGGTATTGCGGAGCCAGGAGTGTCTCCTCAGAGCGATCGCTGAGGCCATTGTTCTGGAGGAAGCATCTAAGGCATGTTTGGAAGTGTTGATCTGCTGGTTTGCAAGGACCATGCCTTCCTTTTGAATAATCCTAGCTGCCTGAACCTTGTCTGCTCATGCAGGCTAGGTAGTTAGTGGTTCTGACCCCTAACACACCCATGGAGTAGAAGCGTCTCCCGAATGCGTCTAATTTCCTACTTTCCCTGTCAGAGGGTGCTGAGTGTGTTCGCTTCGACTTGGACGAGGATGTTACGACTACCGAATTTGGTTGAGGGTGGGAAAATAGAAATTCGGCACCTGTCTCCTGGACTCTGTATGCATAAGAAGTGAGATTGTCGGATGGCGATATGGGGAGGTCCTCCGTGACAGCTTGGTTAGGCAACTTGTGGTAAGGGGAGGTTTGGATCTCCGAAGCCTCTGAGTCAGATTCGTCATCTCCAGAGTCAGAGCAGCCCTGTTTGGGTATTTGTACTGGAGTAATCTCAGGTTGACTAGTTAAAACCTTTGGTGGAACGACTTCAGGGGTGGGACCCAGAGGTTCCGTTTGATGGTGGGAAGGATCTTTAGCCGGAGGTCGAGACAGCGATGCTGAAGGTCTCAATTTATAGGGTGACCTTGATCTGTGAGCAGAGTAGGTCGAATAGTGATCCCAGTCAGAATAGCCCGCAGGAGTCAGCCAGGGCATGGATGGTGTATAATTGCCGTAGAGGTATCTCAGTTGGCGTTGATCCCACGACATCGGTGGTGGTGGGGGGATGAAGACTCTGGGGGATCGACTTCTGGACTGATCACGTCTTGGAGACAAAGGAATGTGCCGTCTTCATGAACGGTCACTATAAATTCACTCATCGATATCGATAGTATTGGCATGCAGACGCGAAGGTTGACGCTGTGCGTTAGAAGGAATGTGTCATTTCCGACCTGTATCGACGTTGGGAGCTTCCGAAACTGTCAATGTTGACGATGGAGAAGGAGAGAGTGAAAGCTCTGCACCCATGGGGTGACTTAGGAGCTCCACATTCTCGATGTCAGAGTAGGGACGCTCCAGTTGTTGAATAGGAGAGTCCAAAATTTGAATTGTAGATATCGGTGGAGGGGCGGGTGTCTCCGATATCTATGGAGTGGGGGGCACTACAGGGGCATTACCCAGTGCAGACGCCGCTACTTTCACCTTCTTTGCCACTTTGAGGGGCTTAGAGGAACCCTTTTTTGCGGATGTGTCCTTACTTGTCTTGGGTCTCTTCTTCACTGGTGTTGAGGTGGAGGATTGCGCCTTCGATGCCGGAGGCTTCGGCGTCAGTTGAACGATGTCGGAGGCAGGCCTCGATACCGGAGCCGTCGAGGTCGAAGGTCTCTCAGAATCCATCGTTGTGGAAGGATTTAGAGCCGATTCAAGGAGCGCCACTTTGAGGCGCGCAGCTCTGTTTTTGGTTTGAAAATCTTGCACAGTGCTGGCAAGAGTTCGGTCTGTGAGACTCTCCCAAACACAAAATACAGAGGGTGTGGCGGTCAGGCGGTGCGAGTTTACTACCGCAACGTTGACACCAGTTAAAAAAGCCCCACTTTTTCTCCATAGAATAAGAAAGTAGTGGAGAAGGAAGGGGGGGTAGAGCCCGAAGGCCAAGCTGAGGTAAACAGAACTTTCCCCCCTCAGGAAAAAAAAAGTTTTTTTTAAAAGTTTTTGTAGGTAACAAAGAAGTAACACAAAAAAGGTGGATAAGTGAGGAAAAACCCAAAGAGCCATGAGGCAAATAGCCAAAAATATTGAACCAATCAGACCGACGGAGAAAAGGTCTTTCCAACGCGGCGGTAAGAAAGGAACTAGCGGGATGTCCGCGCCCTCCCCTCTGGGCATGCGCGGTGGGGTTCCTGCGCATGCCCGAGGTCTGGGCGCAAAAATCTGTTAAAGAGCTTGCTACAATGCCGATCGATCCAGTGCGTGCGCACTAGATCCCATGGGTGTGAAGCACAGAGACCACATCAAGGATCTATGATCACCACTGCTGTAACCCACAATAATGCAATTGTCACAGTTCGTTATCATTCCCCACACCCTCCTACTCAGACAAAAGAAAATCTCCTGTGCATTCACCTTTTAACTGATCGCAGCTTTACACTGTTCATATCTTTGAGGATTTCAAGCATGTTTGGTATTTCAGGCTTCTTTGGATTGTTATCTACTGAAGTCTGGCCAGAGTCTACTCTTTTCCCTCTGCGCTCCTTAATAAGCTCAATGGCCGAGATGCTCCGTTGCAGTGGTGGTGGCGGCGGCAGTGGTGGCGGTGGTGGTGGTGGCGCTGCTGCCACTCCTGTTAGGAGGGGAGCTGATGTAACAGAACTTTCTCCAGCTGTAAAAACATTGTGCATTTCAATACACTATAAATATCTTGCTTCAGCAAGTATCAATTACTGTTTCAAAAGCAAACCCTAGCACAGTAACACGATTTTGGAACAGACTGGACAATTAGGACAACATCTTTGTAGATGCCTGTCAAGTCTCCGCCCTCTAGTGTTTCTACTCCATACAAGAAAGGTATGCCTCCTAAAATATGAGTACTTGGCCTTATACAAGTATGCTGACACACCACATCACATTCCACTGATGAACATTATGAATCCTATTATGTCTGGATTTGAAGCACTGTAGGCAAAGCACTTCAGCTGCTCAAACTGCTGTCTGAGATACACCATACTGATCTGCACACAAAGAAGGCACATTCCTCTCAAGCTTGTGGCGCTAAAGTTCAAGGCCACTGGGGAACAAAGACAACTCTGGAAGGATACCACTAGCCCTTGAAATCCCAGTCCCTTGTTTCAAGGCCTGATGGTATGAAACAAGCTTATATTAAAATCACTACAGTAAGAAGAGGAAGGATGTGAGAACACTTCCATTAGTCACACAAGGTTCTTCACTCATCCTATATAAATATTTCTAAATTAGACATGGACTGTATGAAAGTGCTTTGGAGTCTACAACTGCAGACACTTTGTTGACAATAGCAGCAGTCACAGAAGGCTGGCAGAAGATTTCATGCCAAGAAGTAAGTCCTTGCTAGCTGGGAAACAGATCAAGGTTTCCTTTCCTTGTTGCCCTTCCAACACCCTTTACCACCATGTACAAATTGCTGTGGAAACAAAGATTATTAACTTGAGATAAATGAGACAAAGATGTGAAATACAAAGCAATCACAGAGTTGTCTACTTCATCCCCAGGACAATCTGTCAATTCAAGTTTGTAACAGGCTTCCAGATGTCTAGGAGTTATTAATCAGACCTCAGATTGAAACTAAAGTGAAGAAACAACTACACATTGTGAATGTGTTAACTATCAGAAGTGTGAAACTTTCATAAAGTTGTTTTCAGATGTCAGGACAGTCATCTGATAAGGTTCCTTTCAACAAATGCACATAATAAAATCAACAGAAACCAGATAACCTAGTTATATTTCAAGATCACCTTGTGTCTGAAGTTTCTGCAACTGTTTAAAGTGAAGCGGGCAATACCTGTACAGGTGAATGAAACTGCAAGACAGGTCAAGATCTCCTCTTCTTCAGCCTCCAGGACAGTCAAGAAGTCTCTGAGAGCATGCTAGTGTGGTGTAGTGGCTCAAGTGTTACACTAGAACCTGAGAGATTCCCAAGGTAAAATTCCTACTCAACAGCCTGACTAGATGATTTCGGGCCAGTCATTCTCTCTCTCAGCCATATCTATCTCACAGGGTTTTTGAAGGGATAAAATAGGAGAGGAGATCTGTGTGTGCCACCTTGAGCTCCTTGGAGGAAAGACAGGATAACAAATCTGATAGATAAGTTACATGCACAACTCATTAAATGTGCAACTCATTCTCTTGAGGTCAGCAGCACTACTGATTCTATGACTATTCACAATTATGCCTCTTGGGTTTACACAACCAGGAGTCATCTTGAAAGTCTTGTTAAAATTAAAAAAGAGAAAATACCTGCTGTAAGATTCTGCTGTTCTTGAAAGCTTACAATTTTGGCTATTTGTGCTCTTAAACTGGCAAGTTCATTTTCTAACACACTGATTTTCTGCAAGGCTTCATCATTTGTAGTTGTTGCAATATTGGAGTTGATGTTCTCTTGTGACGGCTTTGGTAAAGGTACTAGAACACTTCGTGCCCTTTCTGGGCAGCCTTCATCTCTAGAAGATCGTTGGGATTTTGGCCAGACTTCTGATCTGCAATTAGGAAGCAATGATGACCAATTAAATGCCTATTAAACAGCTTAAGGAAACAACATTAAGGGTTAGTTTACTCTTAGTCAAAGCCCACCTTGGAGGAGAATTTTGCTCTATTTACCCATCCTTATTAGTCCCTCCCATGGCAATGGGGGCACATCAACTGTATGACCTACCAGCGTGTCCCCTTGTTCCCAACAGCATAAAAGTGAGCTTGCTCCAACACAGAGGTAATCCTTTGGACTTCAGTACGGTTACAGAGTCCTGGCCCACAAATCATAATGTAAACATTGTGAACACCTCTCCTTGCATAGTTCATCACCCATCCTACAAGTATCTTGAGTGCTGAAATTGTCAACTCATCCACCGCAGAACTGTTTCTTTTCCCTACTATGAGCAACGCTTCCCAGATATCTGTGACCATGTTACCTAGCTCATTTCAATGCTTTACTTTCTTCATCACCATTTGACTTAAATAATCATCGAATAAGAGCATTAAGAACATACCTGAGCCTTGTAGAGACTTCACCTTCTTCTTCAGCAATCCATCCAACATCTGCAAGGGAGACTACTCCATCTTCTCTGAACTTTTTAGAATTACTGCCTTCTGCAGGCTGAGAAGTAAGCTAGAAGGTATACAATATTATGTAATAATTACTTGAATTCTTACCTACATTTAGGTTACTTAAAACATTTCTATGCCACCTTTCCCCCCAACTCAAGGTCCCCAAGGTAGCAAACATTAAAACATATCAAGCATTAATAAAGCATTTAAAATTAAAATATACATAAAACAATTATTATAAACACAAACAGGGAGAAGGGCTAATAACAGTGAGGGAGCGCCAAACAAAACAAAAAGATCTTTACCCGCTGGTGGAAGACAACAACAAAGGGAGACAGATCGATCTCCCTGGGAAGAGAATTTGGTGCCATGACTGAGAAATTTAATATATAACAAATTTAATATATAATATAAATGTCTCTTGCCTCAGACAATGGGGGCACCTGAAGTAGGACCCCTGAAGATGACCAGAGAGATCAGGTAGGTTCAAATGGGAGTGGGTATGCTGGACTCAAGCACTGACACCCGAAAGACCGCCCAGGAAGAACAACCAAGAAAAACAGTGAGCCCTGCCACCTGGGTGCCGGTAGGCAGCCCCAATCCCTGTAGACATGTGGCCTTAGCTAGGGATAAATTCGGAACTTGAAAGCCGCTCAGAGACCCTTCGGGGTTGGAGCGGGGTAGAAATCGAAGATATAAATAAATAAATATAAATAAATAAATATAGGGCTTTAAAGGTCAATAGTAGCATCTGGTATTCCACCTGGAAGTAAACTGGGAGCTAATGTAGATGTTCATATGGGCTTACTCCACTAAGAACAGACGAAGGATAAAAACACAGAGTTCCTATTATTATGAAACAAAAAAGAATGACGAGTTCATATCAACATGAGATCCAGTCTGAATGAGGCCTCAATGCATAGTTTGTGTGAACTAATACAGGATAGTGCCAATACAGTTCACATTCACATGTTGTGCATTATGGTATTTTTGGATGTTTGGCACTCTACACAAAAACTTCCAATTAGTCTTCACAATAGGTCAATAAAGAAGAGTCACTTTGGTTAATAATACTATTAACTGCAATGTGTCAATTACTTCATTAGTTCTCTTACCAAGCATCCAATATTTATTTCAGTATTTATGAACAACAGAATTCTTTTTAAGTAACAGAAGGTTAAGATTAAAGATTCAAGACAGTAGGAAATTAAACGCTGTTCAGTCTTCTCACATAGCAATAATGTTTACAGCATCAGCAATGTACAAGGTCTCTCACCCTTCTTACTGAAAGCCAGTATTTTATATGAAATAGTATTTTGTGAGAAACGGGGATAAAAAGGCACATTCAAGACCAGAAGGTGCAAACCCTACATTTAGAAATACAAATTGCCTACTAGCACTTTATGATGGGTTTTATATTTTTATTTGTTCTGTTTTAGCTATTCCTCCAGCGGGTAAGGCGGGGTATAAATCAAATAAATAAATAAAAATTAGGCAGCCACCAGGTGTATGTAAATATCACTTTCCAGACTGGCCTATACAGCAAGGAAAGGCATGGGAGATGCCTTAAGGGTAGAATACTATTGCATGTCAGGCATGCAGCCAGCTGCAAAACAAATGAGATGTTATAAAACTGGGATCCAAAACCACAAGTCTTCTGTTGACATTCAAGTGAAGATTTGCATCCCACAGTGTAAGTGGCTTCAGTCATCTCAAAAGAGGGAAGGGTCACTGGCCACTGCAGATTTACTCCAATAGGATTTTGAAGAAAAGGGATGATAAGTCATGATACAGCTTTTTATTGTGTGTCTAAGGCTCAGTTCAGGCATACACCAAACCATGGTGAGCTCTAATCATGCTTCAGAAATGCTTTAATGTCTGCTCAAGTGCTCCAGTTGCAGAACAATGGCTACAGCTAATATTTGTCAATTCAGACATTATGCCAAATCATAGCTGAACTTCCTTTACTGTAGAACAAAGTTTGAGTCCAGTGGCATCTTTAAGACCAACAAAATTTTATTCAAGGTATAAGCTTTCTGAAGAAGTGTGCTTGCATATGACAGTTTATACCTTGAATAAAATTTTGTTGGTCTTAAAGGTGCCACTGGACTCAAACTTTGTTCTTGCTGCTTCAGACCAACATGCCTACCCACCTGAATCTTCCTTTACTGAAGACTGGCACGATGACTTAATTGAGCCCTGTAATGATTCCATGTTTTGGTGTGTGTGTGTGTGTCTTTAAATGTTAGTTTGACTGCAGTAATGCAAGGAGGGCGATGGGGGAGATGGGTGTTCGGTGATTGGCTGATGACAGAGTGTGGGAGGAGATGTTCTGAGAGGAATCTGTGTGTGTGTGTTTTATGACAGAGTTCTGTGTATGTGTCTTTGGAAAGTGAAGTGTGGAAGAGATATTAAGAGGGTCTGTGTGACTCTACAAGTTTTGTGAGAGAGCCTATATGGCAAAGAAACAAGTAGTGTCTAAACTGTGTGGTTAGACAAATGTTTTATCTTGTGTGCCTAAGACAGAGATTAGCCAGTGTGGCTATATATATGAGAGAGAGAAGCCTGTCAGCATGGAATCTTGGTGTCTGAGAGACTGTGTGTGACACCTTACCAGTTATATTTACAAGTTCCTTTTTCCAGAAACAGTTCAAGATAACCAGAAACCTATTTGGTTCTTGGAATTTTTAATTCCTGGTGGCAGCAGAAAACTACCAAGTTTATATACACAGAGGGTGGTTTAAAGGAAAAACAGTCTCCCCCTATAAGCAAGAACGTCACAAGCCCGAATGTGAAAACCAGAATGTGACGATTTACCTTTGAAATGGCATTGAGGGGGAAAGTATCAGATGACTGAGAAGAGGAAGACAAGTTCATTTCTTTTGTTACCTCCAAATGGTACGTGCTCTGGCTTATCTACACAAGCCATTTAGCTACCCCCTTTACCCTGATGGGCAGCTGAGAAAATGACTTGACTTATGACTTACTACAGTGCTTGATCCAAACAAAACAGTCTCCTCTACAGTTGCAATCATATGCGTATCTGCTTAAGGGTAAGTCCCACTGAACTACATGAAGCCTTACTACCATGTAAACATGGTCAGGATTGGGCTTTTGGAGGATTCTCTTTTTACTGACAGCAACATTCCTTTCCCCACATCTTCAGCTTACTATACAATTCAACAAGAACGTGGAGTTAATTTCATTTATCATTCTTAAGAGCAGTTAGATCTAATTATAAGCATGCACTAATAGTTTGAACAAGATTAAAAGAAAAGGAACAAATCTGACTTACAGTAGGTTCAGTGCACGATCCTGTGATATAAGAGATAAAGCTAGCAAAAAGGAAAGGGAAAG